CGGCATGCTGTCACACCACAAAAAGCATGTCAGTCATCCAGCCTGTTGAACCGAGCCTCTTCAAACTGCGCCTCATTAGAAGACCACTCCCTTCTGAGGATTAGGGGGTTAGAACTAAATATGTGGGAGAGGTTTTATGGGTTAAAAAAGGCATTCCTGGGGCGAGAAACAGCCCAGTTTTTGTAAAAGCATGAGAAGAATGAAGGAAATATGTGCACTACACTGTAAATATTAGCGAGTGTTGACTTTTGCTGGTGTTATTTTGATGATTGATGTGCTTTGAGGCAACAGGAGGGTGAGGAGGCAGAGCCGCACGTTATTTGAAGCTGCTGTAGAAGGCCCAACAGTGGGCGTTCAAGCACAACCTGAACTCAAACACAAATGTACCCTGAACTATATAAACAGAGTTTAACAGATATATTGAAATGCAACTCTGAAACGTGGGTACGCACTCAATGTAAACAAACTTCCTGAGCGTTAAAACATACCAAAAAACAGATTGTTTTGGGGACTTCTCTGTCTAAAATCAACTCATCTGATGATGTTTGCCAATCTATTTTCAGTCATTTTAGCTGTTTAAATGGGTAAACAAACATCTTGTAGTCAATGCAACTTTAGATTGGTTTAAGACATTCACTATAACACGAGGGGGGGTTGTCAGTCTTCATCACATTGCACTGAGTACCTTGAAAGTTATAGCTTAAGCAGATGGAGCACCATGGCAGTTTCTGACAGGAAGTGGAGATAAAGTGCTAAAGTTAATCTATTTTCAAGGTTAAACATAGCTATAACGTTCCAGATACACCTGAACCTTAAAAATACACTGTGGAAGTAAAATACTCCACACACACACACACACACATCAGGCCCGAGCTGCAGAAACTCCCCGTCTTTATCGGCCACCGTCCAGCCCAACAAGCCTCCTGGAAGCCTCCTGGAGGCAGCCTGGAAGCCTCCTAGAAGCAGCCTGGAAGCCTCCTGGAAGCCGCCTGGAAGCCTCCTGGAGGCCGCCCTCCAGAAACCCTGAGGCCGAGATGTCTGCACAATCTCAGTCAGGGTTTGTGAAACAATGTGGCGCCCCGGTTCCCCTCACACAAGGACACCGCAGTGAAACCTTCACGAGTGAAGGCCGGTGTGACCTCATCTGGAACAGATTCCTGGGACTCGAGGCCCTGGAGACGAGCTGAGGACCAGGAGCTGAAACTAGGCCTGTGCTCCGTCTCTGACCTCCACTGCCATTTTCTTTCAGCCCCGCCGCTTCCTCCCCCTCCTCTCGGCCCCAGCCGGGCCCGACTCGCCCCCCCTACCTTGCGCTGCTGTTTCTCCCAGGCCGGGTCCAGAAGCAGGTCCCGGTCCCAGTCGTTCTCCTGCTCCATGTAGGGGTTCGGGCCGCCGGTAGACGACTGGTTGTTGGCAGCGTGATAATCTACCATGTCAACGAAGCAAACCGGAGTTCCGCCTCGCACTAACTGTCAGGGGTTCGAGGAAAAAAAAAAAAAAAAGAAGAAGAAAAAGGAAAAAAAACGAAGCGGGTTCAAAAGAGCGAGGTGGGGAGGGATACGGGAGCCACGAAGTGTCCGTGCTCGTGTCTCCGCTTCCAGCCGTGAGGCTTCTTCTGCTCTGGACGTGATGACGGTCCGGTGTGCGCAGTCAGAAGATCCCGCTGCCGCTGTGAAGAACCGTGTGGCCGCTGGAGGAGGAACCCGCCGCTCCTACGGGCTTTACGACTCCGACAAGCAGGGCGCACCGCGCAGCGCCGCTTCCGGCGTGACCTTTCAAAGTAAAGTGCACGTTGTAGCTGCTTCATCAAAACCTAATTTGTCGCTCTTTTTTTTTTTTTTTTTTTTTAAACAAAAATCATTTTATGACATCTTCTATTTCTTTACACATGTATCCTAAAAAAATAATTTGCTTATATTTGTGATAAAAGTGTTTTCTTTATTTTCCCCTGAGTCCAACAGGTGCGTTTGCTCGTCTGTCTTCTTCTTTTGGCTTTTTGCTCTTCAGGGGTTGTAACAGCAAGTCATCCTCCTCCAGCTCACTCTGTCCTCTGCATCCTCTGTACTCACTCCAACTACCTCCACTACCTCCCAAAAATAGATATGGGTTTGTTCAGCTGGTGCTGATATTATTGTTATATTTGGGACCTGGTTAACTAAATCTGTTCTGAACAAAGATGTAACAATTGACAGCTTTAATATATATCGTTCAGATTGTCCAAGAAAGGAAGGTGGTGTGGCAATCTATGTCAGATCTAATCTAGCAACACATCTGGTGCTTGCTAAATCAGCTCCTAAGCAATTTAAAATCTTGGCACTAAATACAGATCTGTGTGTTGGTCAGTCTTGGTTGCTACAAACCCCCTTCTCTATTATCCATAATGCAGTTTTAATCTATTTTACACTTCAAGGAAATTGTTCTGCTAAGTGATTTTAATCTAGATTGGATCTCACCAGTGTCTTGACGAATTTAAAGCATGTTGTTATAGCATTCAGTCTTAGTCAGATTATTGATAGTCCCTCTCGTCCTAATCCAAAATACCTTGGAAAAATCATCTCTTCTAGATGTTTTCATCACAAACATGCCACATAAGTACACTGGGTTAGGTGTTTTTACAAATGATCTAAGTGCTCACTGTGTAGCCGGTGCTGTTAGGGATATTAATCTCAATCCAAACCTAGAGTAATCCTAAAACTGAGCATGAAGCATTTTAGCGAACAAGCCTTTCTTTGGGTTCTGTTCCACTTTGACTGGCATCATATATCATCAATTGACAACGTGAACCTTGCTTGGAACTATTTTTATAATAGTTCCATTCATTTTGTCAATAAACACGGTCCATTTCGCCAGTTCAGAATAAAGAGCTGGATAATCCCAGCTTTATTTCTGACTTAGCTGACCTCTGCACAGGATGGGCCAGCTTTGGGCAACAGCAGTCTGGTTCAGATTGGTTGCAACTTCATCGATTACGTCATCACTGTACGGCTTCCATTAAAGCTGCAAAATGAAGTTACTGTCTCAGACCACCAAAGATCTGAACGACCCAGAGTTTATGGAAAACCATCAAATCTCCATCTGGCAGCTCTCACTCATCAGCACTCACCCCCCAGACCAACATCAAAAAGTCTTCCCTCTTTTGCTCACTCTGGGCCCTTGAGCAAGGCTCTCAACCCCCACCAGCCGCTCCCCCGGGTGCCCTAGACAGCAGCTCTCTGCTCCACACAGACGGCAATGGTAGCATCAGGAAGGGCATCCGGCGTAAAAACATTTGCCAAGTCTTCAAACGAGTTTATTCGCTGTGGCAACCCCTAAGGTAGGGAGCAGCCGAAAGAAAAGAAATAGATATATTTTTGGTAATTATACGTTTTAGCTACTGCCTTACTACCTTCAGAATTTAAATGGTAAAGGAGCTGTACTGTACTTATAAAGTACCTTTCTATCTAATCAAGGTACTCAAAGCATTCTACAACACAATCTGTGTCCTCATTTACACACACACACACACACACACACACACACACACACACACACACACA